TACATGTATATAAAAAAGGCTGAACTAAGTATTTAGTTTCTGTTAGTCTATGTTTATATGTGGTTTCTTATTATGCATTGTATTTTCATATAAACTTGTCAGTCCAGAGGTCCTGCAATATGAAGCTAGGGCAATTTCCCCATGTTTAGCTAAGATTTTTTTTTTCTATCAAGACAAAATCTATTTGTTATTTGCCTTGGATCATTGGCATACTTTACAGACAGATTATCAGAAAAAGAATTCTAAATTGTTCTCCCACAACAAGGTTTTTTACTAAGCCAGTCTTTGTACAGTCTAGGAAGACTATTTATCAAGTTTTAATTTAATTTGGTTACAATCATCCATCTAGATTTATAAACATAATTTAATTTTTGTCTTTTCAGTGGCCATATTGTAGTGCCTGTTTTTCTAAGCGATGGAAGCTTGTGAAATAACATTTCCTAAAATCAAAGGGATTAAGGCCATATTCCCAGAGCTTTTAGATCGATCTATCCCCGCGGGGAGTCTCACTCGATTACTGTCAGATAATCCGCCTTAAATGTCCGTTCCGCCTACTACAAGCTGTAAGGGGGTAATTAACTTTCGTGTCCGCTCCGCTGACAGCTATTTAGTGTTAACCCCCAGGGAGTTAGGTCGATCTAAAGTAGATCGATCTAATCTCTGGAAATGGGGTCTAAGTTCAGGCTTTACATGGGTAGTTGTCAGATGTGTTCTTGCCACAGGGCAGTTTAATTCAATGTGATGTTATGCAAAGTGTATATACACACAACACTTACTTTTACACTTTTCCAGACTTGACAAGCTCTTGATCATGTCATCATCACGTAATGTTCACCACTCCCACCTTAAGCCTTCCCAAGGCGGGAAGGCCATACTGGACCTGGATGACTTACAGGCCATGACTGACCATAAGGCTAAGACCGTCCTCAAGGAGGCAGTGGACGCAGTGGTCAACAGCTTCGCTAAGCACACACATGGCTATGGCAGAGGTAAGTTCAGATTAGAATCTTTTTTTCTTGCTATTTTCCCAGTATTTTGGTTCATAATTTAAGTATACATATTTGTCAGCATGTTCACTTAAAGAATGACTGATGCCTTCTTTTTTGAAAGATGTGATATCAAATGGTTGATTGTATCAAATGTTTAACACCTGTATTTGATGAATTTTAGAAAAAAAATTATAATGATTTAAGTGCAAATTCTTGGTTAAAAGTGGCTTCTGTGTTATTGACAAGTTTAGGCCAGTGCAGTTTAAGTTGTGAAGCCATGACAGAAAAGGGTGCTTGAAAGAAATCAAATATTTGTTTCTGTTAGTGCTGTTGCTTGCCAGCATGTGGATAAATGTTAAAGGTCACTTTACTTTGCCAGTGTGCTTAATGATTTGAACCAATCATGCTGTTGGCATACCATTTCAACAATATGTTACAAAAAGTGCAGCATTTTAAACAGTACAAAGCTCAAACAATTTTAAAAACAATTTTTTTTTTTTGCCTCTTCAGCACTGAGTACGTGTTTGAAGACACATCACTAAAATGCCCTCTTGATGACTGCAAATTCAGCCACATTTAATTCAAGTGACATGGAACTGACATAAATTTACTCAAGTCCATAGTAACCCTCTCTTCTCTAAAGCTTTATGGGACATTTTGGGAGAATTTATGGGATGTTGATGAAAGTTGGAATTTCAAACAAAAATGCATGTGGTAACTTAATTCCTCTTCCAGTTAAAAGAACTATTCTTCATTTAAATGGCAAACAAAGAGTGCAGTTCCTCTGCTTTTGCTATCTTGTTGGAGTAACTTGTTCACCCGAAGAGGCATTTTAGAAGATAATGGTATCTGCTTTTATAGGCATTGTGTGCAAACATGCTAAAGTGCAAGTGTTCTTGAGTGATAACCATATTTGCCACCCTGGTGTCAATCCATAACAAAATAGTGTGTATTAAGGATTTTAGTGTCTTATATTTCTTCTGCGGTTTTAATTAATTAAAATATTGGCTCTATGAAATAAGTTACATATTTAAAAAGAAAATTTCTTAAAACTTTTTAAAAGAGTTTAATTGATTTTTTGGTAATAACATTATAAATGAAGACAACTTTATTTTAGGTAAAATTTGCTTTCCTTAATATGAAAACTGTTAAGGTTTTTAGATCAGAGATTTGTCCAATTTAAAAAATCTTGGTTATCATGTTATCAGTTTAAAATGAAAAAAAATATATAATAAATAAATGGCAGGTAGGATTAATACCTCCTTGTGTATCTTTTCAGTGAATGTAGTAGAAGCCCTGCAGGAGTTCTGGCAGATGAAACAGGCCAGAGGAGCAGATCTGAAGAATGGGGCACTAGTGGTGTATGAATCTCAACCCTCTGCATCACAGCCATACATATGTTTTGTTACATTACCTGGTGGGAGCTGTTTTGGGAGTTTTCAGGTAGGACCAAGATATTTTTTTTTGAAAAAAAGGCAAGACAAATAAAAATTATACTAGTATTTCTGTAAAGAGAGTGTGAAGGATTTCTATAAAGACTTAGAGGGAGTAGAAAATGAATTTGTACTGAAACTGTCAAAAATGTGTCACATTGTGTGCCATTGGAACATAAGCCTCACTGATACCAGCTTTTGCTAGCTATATAATATTTTAAGAAAGTTTAATTTTCCATTTGAGTCATGACTTTTGTGTCTTCATTTCTAGAACTGCCCTACTAAAGCTGAGGCTAGAAGGAGTGCAGCAAAGATTGCTTTGATGAATTCAGTATTCAATGAACATCCCTCTAGGAGAATTACAGATGACTTTGTTGAAAAGGCCATTGGGGAAGCCATGGCATCCTTTAAAGTGAGTTAAACCAGATATAATGGTATTGTGATAAAATGGTTGTACAATCCCTTACAGAGCAAAATATTTGAGTTATACCTGTAGAGAGTTTCAGCTGTGTGCGTCACATAGCTGTAGGTCATCATCTGTGTGGTGGCGCTCTTTGCTCCTAAAGGGATCATACAACCATTTTATTACCTTATAATGGAGCACAGAAATATTTGTTGTTTTACATATTGAAATGATGCATAGGCATGCAATATAAGTGCGTGATATGCATATTTATCTTATTTGTTTTGGAGTAGAATAGGGAAACTACTGTAAATGCTTTTCCATAATCTTTTTGAAATATAAATCCATCAAAACTGGGAGGCTCTGATACAACATTAGTAATTATGTTCAGAACTACTAGGCATTATGTCTCCAGCCCAATTTAGAACACAATTTACTTCTAGGTGTTTTTGGTGAGTGATTCTCCATGACCCAAGGTATACCTATTTGTATAAGAAAAGCTTCGGAATTCCATAATTAATGAAAGGAGTGGGTCAGTGCCTGACATACAGTTGTGTTCATATAAATAATATGTGAAAACTTCTCATACTTCTGACTTATCAGTTATTTTTATTTTTTTTTTTATTGATTATTTATAATTTAATGAGTAGGGCAAGATGGATGAAGCAGACAACCCTGCTACAGGAATAGGTGCCTTTAGATTCATGCTAGAATCCAATAGAGGGCGTACCATGCTGGAGTTTCAAGAACTGATGACTGTATTCCAACTGCTGCACTGGAATGGCAGCTTA